AGCTGGAGCTGTGTAGCTGTATGTAGGATTGTTTTTGTCCTTCCATTTTTCTAAGGAAATATAAAAGGAAGGTGAATTCTTTTCGACTAGAAATTAGAGCTTGTATAAGGGTTGTCCAGGTTTATTTAAAAAAATAAAAAAGTGCTTTTTAGTGCCTTGCGGGATTTCCCAGAGGCATTTCTGTGTAATTACCCCAAATATATCTCCAGGCTTTCCCAGACGGTCCGGAAATGGGAGTGTCACAGGACACACAAAACATAGTATTTGCTGCCAGGAAACAGCACGCTTGGATTTTGAAGTCCTACGCCAAATGGTTCACGATGTAAATAGACAGTGGAAAGCTCACCAAGAGGTAGTGTCATTTTGAAATTACTGTAAATACTGGAGTGTAGTGTTTACATCCTGTCATGTAGAAAGCTGTTTAAAGACGGGAATTTTTAGTTTATAGCAAAAGCTGCTCAATTAGAAATGATCATCTCCTGTTAATTCAAAACAAAAAAGCTCTGTGTTCTCAGAAATGACTTGGTCATCTGCCTCAAATTCTTTCCAGATTTTCTTTCTATCTTATGTCAGATTTGTATTTCTTTTACCAAACGTTGAATTATGTTCTTGCTTTGTCAGATCTTTTCCTTTTTGTTAACGCTGAACTTCACAACGTAAAACACGAAAAACAAAGCTTACTGCACGTGAACGTTGCTTCCATGAATTTTAAGAAAGAATAGAATTATTTCACTCATATTGAGTTTTGTTACTGTAAAAGAAAACAATACTTCCAACTGTGCTTGGTTAAGCCAAGCCTTCCTTAATGAGAGACAGAATCGAGGTTCCCCTGTCCCCTCTTCATGTCTCTGGATGACCAGCCTCCTTTGAGTTTACTTTTGCTGTGCTGAGTGCTCTCTTCAGCTGCTATTTCAGAGCTGTGCAAATAAATTACAGTGAAGTGTTTAATTAAAGTTAGCCTCTTGCTCTGATCGCCCTCTACTGCCTTCCTGGATACAATTGGCAAATAAATTTTGGAGTTTTTACTTTAGGCAGAATGGATATTTGAAGCTTATTTGACTTTGATCGTAGATTGGATGTTTGTTATCTTTACTGAGTGAACATCTGAAACTAGGAAATGAATGTCAAAGAGGAAATAAAGGACATAGAATTGCATAAATGAAGGCAATGTAGGGAAGTAGGCCTGAACGCTCTGCTCTGAGGTGTTGGTGCTTCCAGAATTACCTTCTTGATCTTTGGTGAAAGCGTCTTTCTCAATTCTGAGGAATAATTAGGCTTAAATAAGTCATGTAGAGAACATATGGCTTTTAGATATTTAAAAACGCTTGGAATTTCTGAGATTTTTTGGTGGTCATGGCAAAATTTCGAGGAATATGTTGAATATGCAACTGAATATTAGTTATTTCACCATTGCAGTTTCTAAGATCTTGTTTCCCTGATAGCTTGTGTACAAGCAGTTGTTAAATCGTAGTCAGCTGAGTAGTATTTGATAAAATGCATTCATAATTTCTGGATTCATTGAATATGGGCTTCTTGTATTGAGTTTTTCTAATCTTAGTGCATTTGTTTCCTCTAGACTTTGAAAGAAATGGGCTMCACCACACACCTCAGCTGAGCTGAGGCATTAATAATTCTCTCAAGTAGTACTAAGAAGAGATGACACTGACTTTTCACCACATCCGTCTTGTATACTTCCATGTTTTTGCTTTCAGCATAAGTTTATGCCCTTCAGATAAGATTTTTAGAGGTGGCTCAACCTCTAAAGGTATCTAAGAGGGTACCTTAGGGAACAGAACTAAAACTCTTGTTTGCACATGATGTATTTCTAGCCTAGGATTCCCAGTCTTGATAGCTGGAGGAGAGACACATGAGAGTGACCTTCCTTCCTGCACTGACTTCATCTGGGTTGTGGTGGTTGTTGATAACATCTGTGTCTGGTTGTGCAGGGCCTGAGTGCATATTTTCAGTTGAGAAAGGGAAATTTTAAAATTATATCTAGGATCTTCAGGACTTGGAGAGCCACCTACTTCATGTAATTATTCAAATTTTTCCTTTCAAAAAAGAGGCTTGCTCTAAARTAAATAAATTAAGTTTACCATGATGGGATAAAGTAGGTTATTTATCCTCTTTATTTTTAGAGCTGTGTAGACAAGACTGAAGACCTTTGACTGCTCTGTTGGTGGTGCTTTCAAAGTGCTTGACTTTGCTAGTTTGATGTGATTCTAACCTAGTTTTAAGACAAAAGTAAGAGCTTTTAGAACTCCTTGAGCATCATCTTGAGACACAGAAGCTAAATAGCAGGTTTAACATAACATAATTACTTTCTCTAAAAATGTTAGTTTTCCTTACCTGCCTTTACATCATTCATGCATGGGGGAATACTCCCAAACTCCATACTGCACATCACAATTTGTTCTTCAATAATCAGATCTTTCCAAAAACACAGCATGAAACAATTCAAAGAGAAGTACCTAATTCAAATGAATAGAACAACCCATTGTTTAATCCTTTTCCTGGTTTAGGGTAAGAGGATTTTACCYGTGCGTGTCTTAACCAACTATACAAGTGTTTTTTAGCACCTCATAAAAAGAGGGCTCACTTTTGTTTTTAAACAGAATTATGCTACCAAACAAAAGCAGTTTGTCATGTATGGGTACCTAAGGGTGGAGCATATTGCTTTTTAAGATCTAGTATGTGCAAAATGAGGATTATGTCATGTTTTGACTATCTCTAAAATGAAAACAGCTATAGAAAATTGAAACATCTTTTTGTAGTTGTGTTTTAAGAGTATTATGGCTAAAATGGGGCTCCATACAATACAATCTGAGAGGATTATTGAGAGGGTACTGCTCTTGAATACGATGGGACTCTTTTAACATTATTTTGCAGGTTTTAAAAATTTATTTTCMTGCAAGAACAAAAGGATCAAGTTAATTGTGCCTCGGCATAATAAATAAAGTTAAACCATGAATGACTCTTCTGAGCCACAAGTGCTATATGGTATTTGATGAGATAATACCATTAAGTAGTGCTAAACCTTCTTTATTACAGATTTTATTAAAGTCTTCAAGTGTGGAAGAAAGGAAGGATCATATTTAATGTCATACTTAAAACTATTGTTATAAATATAGTGTTTACCTATTAGTTTCTGGGCAATGCTGCTAAAATGTTCTGACCTTATTCTAAACTTACATTTAATTATTGATTTAGTTCAGGAGAGGAGGATTACTGTGAAGTTTTACTCAAGGGATTTTTTTATTCTTGTTCTTTGTAATGTTAGCTAAAGTTTAACTCTGAAATTAGATGGGCAAACCTCCAGCTAATCCATGTCTTCTGGGGCTCTCTGATGAGATGCTACCAGTATGTGATAATTATTTTAGTAGATATCTGCAATCTTTACTCCCATACTTCTCAAAAAGGTAAACTTAAGAATTAAAGAATTGTGATATGACAACTCCTTGAAAGTTTTAGTGAAATACAAATGTGTAAAATCGGATGTTTGCTTGTTACAGAAGTGGTTTATTATTTACATTTCTAAATACTTGGTTTATACAAGACTGCTGACATCCTGTAGATTTAGAAAGTTGTTAAATTGGAAATTTAAAAATAATACATTTAGGAATACAGAGACCCTGGGGCAAAAAAATAAATAGAAAAAAAGTATGAATACCACTTAAATGTTGAGTCATAAACTCAGGCAAAATAATCAGATGTAGCTGTCAAAAGTTAAGTACTTTTCAAAATAGGAAGCCAGTGTAGGAAGCTAGTGCAGTTTCACACATCCTCCAACTCCAGAGCAATTGTTAGATTTTAAGCAGTTTGTGTAGGGGCCTAAAATGAGCAGATTGCCTTTGGCAGTCAGTCCAGACTCAAGTTACCCTAGCTGAACCTGGGGAGGAGGAGAACCTTTTCTATCCTGTACTGCTCCCCTTTAGTTTTTAAACCATCATGTAATATTGTTTTGTCATCTTAGGCTTGTATTTTATTATAAACAGCGTGCAAGAATTTAGAGGTTCCAGGTTCCATAATCATCTTGGCGATTTTGTGATACTTTCATAACATTTTAATATAAAAATGTATCAGACTGATTATCCTCATGCTTGATCTTCACTCAGAGTTTATTGCATTAAATATGTGAGGAAAAATACCCTCAATCACTCCTAAATTCTGGGAAAAAAAAAAATAAATAAATAAACCCTTTAAAACCTCTTGAAGTATTCTTCCATCTCTGCCAATGCTTGACATTTAATCATAGTTCAGACCTTTAACACATCATCTTCTAGTGTTTTAAGTAAAGAGATAAAGATCTGCTTGTTGCAGACACTTTGGCTTGAGTTGGAAGTGTTCTAAATAATTACAAAAAAAAGAGAAACACTTAGGTATCAAAGTCATGTCATCAGTTGTCATTACAGTGATCCAAATAAAGTGCTTGGATAACTGATGGATGATAAAATCCTATAACTATGGGGCTAATTTGCTCACAAAGCATATGGGCTCTCGTAGGAAAGGAGTATACTGATAGAGGCTGTATATTTAGACATCACTGTAAGGGAGCAGGATAATCATTTGTGCTTCTCTGCAATTCTTTACAGGGCTGTGGTTTCATTTGAGAAAATTCTCAGAAGTGAATGAATGCCCCTTACATGGTTTTAAATGCCCTTGTAAAGTTAAATAGGGAAAATCGTCCTCTCTGAGTCTAGTGCAGAGGGCAGCATCAGCAGCTCCGAGTGGTTTTGTACAAACTCCTCCGCCTCCTGGAGCACAATCAGCTCTGTTTTATTGGCAAAAACTATATATTTTCAATCGCAGGAGAAGATTGGGAATTTAAATCTGTCATAATAGAAGTGGTCTGTACAATTCTCCAGCCCTTTGGCGTGATGAGGATTCGGAGGGAAGGACATCAGGACTCCTGACYAGCAGGCAGTGCTGTCCCTCCATACCGAGTGTCCTAATTGCTCATTGCTYGTAAGTGTAGCCTGAATTGTGGCTTCTCTTTCCAGGCAGAGCTTGTCGACGTGCAGTATGGGACTGTTGAAGATTTGGTCCGGATCCAAGCCATTACTGATGTGACCAAAAAAATAGCACTTTTGAAGCTGGGACAATCACCTTTGCTTTATAAGGTTAGTTATGTACAGTGAAGCTGTGCTTCAACTGATGTATTGGTTTGGCGTTCAGCTTCTGAATATCAAGGCAAGGTGTTTCCCATCCTATCACGGTAAGTCAGGATGCATCGTTCTTTAGAATCCTAATGCTGACTAGTTGTAACTATGGTGGCTATTCTGTCTTGCTGCTCTTGATTTTGCTGCATATGTTACAGTGCTCCAGTACTGTCTCTTCCCGGGGTGCACTATGAGCCTTTTGGCAAATAAAGAAATCCAAAAAACAAAACAAAAACAAAATTTAAAAAAAAAAAAAAAAGAGATTTTAGGAATCGTTGGATCCTTGTCTGTTAAAAAATGTACATGTAATAATGCACTAAAATCTTTTATTCTGGCATCATTGTATCTGACTTGGGGCTTTCCAACCTAAAATCTAGAGCTTTCGGCCTTACTACAGATGCGCTGCTGCAAGTACATCCTGAGACTGTAACCAACCAGCAGGAGGAATGGCTGTATTGTTTAGACAATGACATTTTAACCTGATTTAGTTGCTATATAGTATAGTCTTGCTCTGTGGTGAAGCTGTCATTGCCTTCGTAGTTCCTTCTGTAACTCACCCCAGCTTTGAGGGAGAAAAGGGGCTGTGAGCTGGAAGAAAACATGAACTATTTTCTGCTGCAATAACATAAGCACACTGCCTCACGAGAGCTATGTATGTATATAAATACCCCACCAGCGATGGTTACTCACGCTAGTTAAGGATTTCTTGGTCTACTGCCAGTTGAGAATGAGCACGCTGTTTTCCTTTCATTTTCCCTTCCTTTTCTTTGGTTGCAGTTGTATGGAAGGGATATATGTGTCTGTGCACACACCAGGTTTCCTTCTCCTCCGCCTTTAGCACTGTCTGAGAGCACAGAGATTGGGCTCCTGTGTTCACTTGTACATTAGACATGACAGACTCAGCATATAACGCCTATTTAAGCTCCTAATCTCAAGCAACTGCCCTCTCTTGCAAGTACTTCATAAACAAAAATGCTATTGTGTCTTCAGAAGACACAGTAGCCCAGTAAATAATTAAAACAATTCATGCCCAATTCACAAAAGCAATTATAAAAGTCCTGTAGCTCCAGATTTTATAATTAAAAGAATTCAGAGCTGCTCATTTGGCCACAGAAAGCACAGTTGAGCCCAGAACACAGGTTCAGTAAATAACCACTTAATATACATATATTTTTAAAGAATAATTGTTGCCTCAGTAAAAAAAAAAAAATGCCCTTTTCAACTCGGTAACTTTAGCTATTTATCTAAATTATTTAGATGCAATCTAATTTTGTTCCTGAAAGGTCAGGTACTGTTGTTGGAATTTGGCTGTTGCCCATCATCTCTGCCCACAAGACCGTACTCATCGTTTCACCGCTACCTAACAGAAATAATGAAAAAGCAGTGGGAGCCCATAAGATGCTAATTTGATAAAGACACAAAATTTGCTGTAATACCAGTATCTGCAATGTTTGAAAGATGAAATTTTAACCAATTTAATCTCTGTTTCTGGAAGGAGATTTTAGGAGCTTGTATTTTGGATCGGCTTTAGGCTGCTCCCAAACAATAAACGTTTATTGGTGGTGGAAGTGTATTCTTGGTGCTGCTCATCTGCTTTAATTTTATTCAGAAAGAATCCGCTTTGCCTGGTTAGGGAATGCTATGCAATGTGAATCAAAGGGTGGTAAGTGGGTTGGTCAGGAGATTGACTTCAAAACAGCAAACTCCTTATCTGGACTAAGATGGTGATGCACCCACACGTATTTGGCTTCACTTGAAGAATGACCACTACAGTCTTCAGGGTGGGGGGAAAAAAAATTCTTTTTGTGCTCTGCTTACATGATAAAGATGGGGAGTTTGGCCCTCACTTTAGTTATTTCTTCTTTCTGAGGACATAAACTCTCCYTTTTCTTGAATATAAACTGCAAGGAGTGTCTCTGGTTAGGAAATAATTTTGATTTTTAAAAGCATCAAAAATGTGTGCTGGGTTACCAGAAATACATTCCTTCATAACAAATATTTGTAAGGGAAAGATGAGGATAGCTTTAAACAGGATGTCCTGATGGTTTAAATGGACACAGTTTTTGTGTCCAGGACAAATAATGTCCAGGACATTATTTGTGTATTTCTTTGCTAATATTTACTTATGGAGTCTCACATTTGCCTGTTTTTTCCCTTGTTTTTGACTTGCATGTGCCTGGGTTTGCATGTCATGAAAATGGAAAGCTAGTTCCTAACAGAGTGGTCACTGTGCTTCGGCCCCAGATCTCTGCAGTTAACTTTTTTTTTTTTTTTTTTAAACATTTTAATGTTATTTAATTTCTCATTATTTTTACTTCATAYGTCCAGTTTAGGATTAGACTCTTACTTTTTATAGGTCACGTACSAAGATATGTAAAGAAGTTTCGTCTTCATACCACAATGTTTCTTACTATGTCTGTATTTTTCATTTTCCATTGCATGTGCATGCTTTTCACTTTTCCTTTTTTATTGTCATCTATTTTCATTTATTCTTCATTTTTCTCCCTTTTATGCTTGGTGATTATGATAGTGGACACATTATTTGGAGTTTCAACAGAGCTACACAGATGCGTCCTGATCTCTTAAGTTGGGCTATGTCAAATAAAAAATAGGTTAGTGCAGCTATATGATCCATTATACATATAAAAAGAAGAACGKGGACTCTAGGGCAGGGCAATGTATCCAAAGAGCATGGAAACAGGTTGAGCTTGCACTTTTGTGATAAKAAGGGTATATAAGGGATATATATTAAAAGATCTATTAATAACAGATTAGAGGTGAGGTTTAGCAAGTGCTTTTATCTTTGATAGGGCACTGATAAAATCAGTAAGGGAATAAAAATCTGTAGTCTATTTTATAATGAATATTAAAAGAGGTAGAAAATGACAGAAATGCTTGAAGGGGTGAAGACAGGTATAGTACAGTTAAGGCAGAGCAATTTTCAAAAGCAAYAGGAGAAGGTTTTGGTATTGACAACTCGGGCACTCACAGTGCTGATATTCTGCAGCAGGGCAGGCCGAGGCAATTGATGCAGCAATGAAGGGTAGAAGGAGAAGTCCTGGGATGCGCTAACTTGGTGCAGCTGTGATGCTGGGCATCCCTTGCCAAAGGGCAGCAATGAGTAACTGAGGAAAGGTAAATTCTTTACATACTGTGGTTGCTTCAGAAGGGGTCTTGAGACTGCGGTGGGAGATGCTTAAAGAACCAAATTGCTTTTGAATAAAGAGGGAATTAGATTAAGGAGAGAGGGAAAAAAGAAAAAAAAAAAAAAAAAAAGCTCTTCAACTCTTCTACAGAGAAGGCTGAAACTAGACAAATTTAGAATATAAATGATACATAACTTCTGGAACTAATTTCCAGAGACAAGGTAGAATACATATTTCTTCATGCCTTCAGATTGCACTGACTACCTTCTGGTATTCTGGCTAGAAGGGAAATTTCCTTCCATCAAACAGAAGCTTTGGTTGACCTYAGGTTGTTGACCTCTCTGGGCTTTGGTAGCCAGTTATATGCAGGAGGTTGAAGCACACTGATCCATCCCAGTAAGTTGGTTGCATCCATGTGGGGAAAGATGGCAAAATTTATTACTAGTGATTAAGCAACTTACTCTTGTGATGTGAAATACCACCTTGAGAAAGAGCAGCTTGAGTTGTCCGATTCATTTATAGACAGAAACATCATCTTCCAGTAGTATAAAAATGTGTGGTGACAGACTGATTAGAACATCTCACCTGCATGCAGCTACACTGCCCTCAAGCTCTTCTCAGCTCATGACTGTGAGCACATAAAAAGAAGCAAGAGGAATTTTTATTTATTTTTTTAATAGAGTATTGCACAATAATTTCAATATCCCCCCAAAATTCCAGCCTCCAGAAATACCACCACCAGTTTCATGTTTTAAAGAATATTGTGATCTTAATTTAATCTTTTGGGTTTGAGATTGAAGAAAAAGCCATAATTTCTATCCTAAATTAACTTTTAATAGAGTAACAAGAACCCTGAAGGCCAAACCACTTCATCTTTAAAATGTTCAAATATTAACATTTTTTTCACATTCATTAAATGAAGATGTTGTTTTAATGTGTAAATATCTATATTTATTTTAATTATTTAGTGCTTTCATAAATATTCATTAAAGTGCTTTTTCATAAAGTTTAGAAAGTGTGAATGCTTATTTTTTTATGCAGAGGTTATAGGCAGCCACTTATGGATGAGAATTTCCTAAATATCAAATCCTAAGGATTCTTAAAATACAGGCAATTTACAAAAGGCTTCTATTTAATAACTGTGTTAGTTTTAAATATATTTACTTTAGAAAAAGTCATTATACTTTCTACAGTCTACATTGTTTATTTGCCTTTTTTTTTACTTTRTTTTTTCCCTCTGGCACTTTTTATGACTAGCTCGTAACTGTAAAGATTACATTCTAAATCTCTGTTTAACTAGAACTGACTTTTTCTCTCTTCCCYTTCTCCATATATACACACATGCATATATGTATAAACTATGTTGAATGTAAAGCATTTTAGGAATTGCTAATACCTCATATACATTTTTTATTGCTATGGACACTTATATTTTGTGTAGTACAATGGAATTTTTTCAAAGGTGCATAAAATTTTTAGATACTCCATTCCCATATGAATTCTATGGGACTTATATTCCCTCCCACGGCCCTTTTTGAAAATTTGAGCCATGTATATAGGTAGTGTGGATAAAAGTCCTAGAAGCATAAAAAAATTAGACTTGGAGATCTAAATCTTTGTTGTCTCATCCCCAGGAGGCTGATACTACCCAGAATTATTTAAAGCAAGTATGTCAATTCACACCATATTTATTCCAATATCCAGTAATGGACGGATGGGGTCCTGTGACTTATACCACCTGAAAGTGAGGCAATGCCAATGCACTTATAAATCCAGCCTGCACCTGTCCAAAAGAACACAAAATAGTTGACAAAT